GATACAAATGGGTTGGTTACGTCACATGGTAATGTTTAGCTCCCTGGCAAAACGCTCGTTGCCCGGGCCAAACTCCCCCCCCACCCAGGGTAACGCTAACGATCGCATTGGGCGGGGAGGCCTGGACCCCACTTTGCATGCCAGGGGGCGGACTGTGCTCACAGCCGTGGCGTGGTGCGGAAAGGCGTGCTTTGGTGCTCGTAAACGTGCTGTGGCGCTCTCAGGTTGCCCATCTGTTGCGGCGCCGAGCTCACAGGCATGGCGTGGTGCCAAAAGGCACGTTTCGGTGCTCACATGCGTGTTCCTGCTGCTTTTCCTGTTGTTCCTCCTGCTGTTCCTCTTGTTGCTGCTCCTCTTGCTCCTGCTGCGCCTCCTACCGCTCCGTATTTCCTTCCTTCAACGGGGGCCGCCAGGACCGTTGAAACACGAGAGGAAGAGAACAGGGCGGAGGAGGTGCAGGAGGAGGAAGAGGAGGAGGTGGAGGAGGAGGAGGAGGAGGAGGAGAAAAATGACGAGTCGTGAAGGCCTCCATGGTCTGTGGCGAGCCCCGCAAGGAGGCCTCGCAAGCTACTAATGTGCTCGTTGGCACGCTTGGCGTTCTGGTGTGCACAAGCGTTGTGGTGCACGGAGGCGTTGTGGCGTGCGTAGGCGCTGCGGTAAACATGGGTGCTGTGGTGTACACGGCGCTGTGGTGTACACAAGCGCTCTGGTTCACGCAGGCAAAGACGTGTACGCAGGCGTTGTTGCGCACACGGCTGCTGCAGTTTACACAGGCTTTGCGGTGTACGTAGGCGACGTGGTGCTGCGGTGCACGCGGCTGTTGTGGTTTACGGAGGCACTGCGGTGTACACAGGCGGCGGTGTGTTGCACGCAGGCATTGGGCATTGTCGCGTACGCAGGACTGTGGTGCACGCGGGCGATTGATGCGCGGGTGGCGCGGACGCACCTTGGCGGGTGCACCTCGCGGCCGCCCTTACCGTTACCCTCCCACCCGAACTCCCCCTCGCCCCGGGTGACGATCGTTACCCCGGAGGGGAACACGCTCACCTTCCCTTTCAACCTTAGCAATTTTGGCTCAGGCCATCTGGTTTTGAAAGCAGGGATGCGGCACGACCTGCCCCTGCGGCACCTGCAGATGAAGAATGTGGGCCCACCGGCCTGGGACACTGCCGCCAGAGCTGCTCGTTCACGCGTGCGCTGAGTTCCTGCTGCTCGCCCGTGCGCCAGGGACCACCGATGCATGGGCCACGCTCGCCGCGGACGACCAGACCGTTCGCGCCAGCTGCCTCGCGGTAGCGGCGCTGTGCCATGCGTCGAGACGGCACGGCGCCGCCGTGCGGGATGCGCAGCTGTGGAGGTTGGCCGTCGAGAGGGTGCTGTGGCCCATGCGGGCGTTCGGGCCTGCACGTGTGCCAGCGGCGCGCTCGCAGCTGGCGCTGCTGCGCAGCGCCGGTGCATGGTGCCGACACCTGCGGGTGGACTGCCTGCGGCTGTCCGAGCCAGGTGGCCAGGGCCTTTCAGCGCTGGCCGCGAGCTGTCCAGGCGTGGAAGCGTTGGAGCTGCACTTCTTCGGGCCCGAGATGGGCGCCTCCGTCCCCGAGGTAGCGTCGGTCTGGCTCGGCTCGCTGCGCCGGCTGGCCGTGCACTTCTGGTACGACGATACCGCCGGGCCGCCGCAGATGCTTGGCCTGCTGGCCTGGTGCCGCGCATGCATGGCGCTGGAGGAGGTGCGCCTCTCGGGGGTGGATTGGCCGCGGGCGAAGACGGCGGTGCAGTCCGCGCTGCTGGACCCGGGCGCGCGGCCAGCATGGAGAGCGCTGAGGCGGTTGCGGGTGGAGGGCTCGGAGCCCTGGGAGGACGAGGACCTGGCAGAGCCCCTCCGCGCGAGGGGTGTGGCGGTGGAAGTGCTGCCCATTGCAGACCGCACGCGCTGACGGTCCAGCGGGCTGCCCGGCAGAACGACGGGCCACGCTGGCGTGCCCTGCTGCCGAGGTGGCACCGGCACGGTGTGTGACGGTGTGTGTGGCGCGAGGCGCTGCGGCTCGCCCGCTGCCTGCGCTCCCAGCCTGATGAAACACCGGGCGCCAACTGTGCATACTGCACCGAGGCGGGCCGGGCCACTCCTGGGCCCAGGATCGGTGTATACGTGCCTGCCTGGCCACCCAGAGAGCCTGGCGTCTCGAAGCAGTCGCGACGGAGGCTTTTCGTCGCTTTCGGCCTCTCGGGGCTCTCGCCAGGCCTCGGGAGCGTCAAAAAACGGCTCGGGATGAAACGCCAGCCCCAGGGAAGTGGTCGGGGGGTCGGGGGCCCGTGTCTGGAAAACATCGAGACAGCGGATGTCTGGGCGCCTGGCCAGCGCAGGAGGGCGTGGGCACCAAGCTCGGGCCCAGCAGGGGCCTGGCCGGGGTCGGTGCGGGTGTGCGGCAGGCGTCCTCCCAGCTGGCGCGAGTGCCAGCGGGCCAGGGAGGGGTATGCCTTGTTATTTTTGATGTCCAGCATCCCGCTTCTCATAGCTCCGGCGTGCCTTTTTTTCCAAATCAGAGCTTGCCTCTATAGGGGTCCCAGCCGCTAGGACCCAGCGGATTCATATGGCTAGGTGAGGTGGGTCGCCGATTTCGGTGGCCAGCCCGGGTGCCCAGGTGTCCGGGTGCCTGGGTGCCCGGGTGCCTGGGGGTGCCCGGATGCCCGGGTGCCCGGGGGTGCCCGGAGGTGCCCGGAGGTGCCTGGGGGTGCCTGGAGGTGCCTGGTAGCCGTGTAGCCCTATAGACCTGTAGCCTTATAGCCTTATAGCCCTATAGCCTTATAGCCCTATAGCCTTATAGCCCTATAGCCCTATAGCCCTATAGCCCTAATAACTAGCCCTATACCCCATATAGCCCAAGAGCCCTGTAGCCCTATAGCCCTACAACCTTATAGCCCTATAGCCCTATAGCCCTGTAGCCCTATAGCCCTATAGCCCTATAGCCCTATAGTCGTATAGCCCTATAGCCCCATAGCCCAATAGCCGTATTGCCCTATAGCCCTATAGCCCTGTAGCCCCATAGCCCTATAGCCCTATAGTCTTATAGCCCTATAGCCCTATAGCCCCATAGCCCTATAGCCCTAAACAAATTCTGATTGGGTTTTTTCTCCGGTATCATTTGAGACGTTGGGCAGAAGAGCTCTCGACCCCATCCGAGGAATTGGTTGTTCGTCCTGGATATTTTTCTGACCGCCAGGAGCGTCTGACGGAGGCCAGCAAGGCGCTGGCGAGGAGGAATGGCGAGCACCCCATCTCCTCCTCCTCCTCCTCCTCCTCCTCCTCCTCCTCCTCGTCCTCCTCCTCCTCCTCCTCCTCCTCCCCTTCCTCGCGTCACTTTTAGATTCCTGGGTGGGGTTCATGCTCTCTCCGCCTTCTCCTGTGCTCGCTTGGCGCCCATTGGAGCGCGGCGTTCGCCAGCTAGTCCCGTATCCTCCTCCCCCTCCTTCTCAATCCCGTTTTCCCCTTCGTTATACCCGACTCTGGAGTCCACCTCCCCCTCCCTCCCTGCCCCCCCTCTCCGCTCCCCCCCGCTCCCCCTCCTCCCTCCCGCCCCTTCCCTCCCCCTCCTCCCCACCTCAACAATTACACAATATGAGCACTACTCTCCTCTCTCCCCTGGTGACGTCCAGGAAATGTCCGGCCCCCCTCCGCGTATTTGTTTTTACACAGAGGATTCCCATGAGTTGGGTTTTCGCTTGGTTTGCTTTCAAAATGCTACTCTCGCTGAAGCGCTGGCCTCATTTCCAGGCTACCGCCCGTTCCGAATCGTGCTCCCGATGCAGCGCTGGCCTCATTTCCGCGCTTCCGCTCGTTCCGAATTGTGCTCCCGCTGCAGCGCTGGCGTCATTATTTCCAGCGCCATGCCACGGCATGGTTTTCGGTCTTTCCAAATATGCCCCAAAATCTAGAAAATGCCCCCCCGAAGCAACCATCGGAAGTGATTACACATTCGGCGTCGAACAGTTGTATTTTTGGGTCGCAGAAGCGCCCCCCCCACCCACTTTGGGGCTTCGCCACGCCATGCTATGTCAGGCTGAGCGTCCTCCGAATCGTGCTCCCGCTGCAGCGCTGGCCTCACTTCCGCGCTTCCGCTCGTTCCGAATTATGCTCCCGCTGCAGCGCTGGCGTCATTATTTTCAGCGCCATGCCACGGCATGGTTTTCGGTCTTTCCAAATAAGCAAACAATATACAAAAAAACCCACCCGAAGCAACCATCGATGGTGATTCCACATTCGGTGTCGATTAGTTGTATTTTCTGGGCCGCAGAAGCCCACCCCGCTTTGGGGCGTCGCCACACCATGCTATGTCAGGCTACGCGTTGATCTTCAACACCATGCTATGCTATGTAATGCTGTGCCCTACTGCGAAATCCGACCGTGCGAATCGAGAGGAGATCTACGCCATTGTAAGGGATGGGAGGGAGGGGTAGGACGTCAGATATGACGCGAGCGCACCTAGCTTGCCCCTCCCCCTCCTCCCACCCCGTTCCCTCCCTCCCTCCCTTCCCTCCCTCTCGGGGGGGGGGACAGTAGATGGACAATATGTTCGAACCCTTACACATTCGAGGGAGATTCTAAATCACCCCCGCGCCCCCGACATCAATGTTGATCTCAGTAAAGGCGGTGCTTTGGGGTTCGAATCTTTCTGTCCACTCCCGCCCCCCCCGTCGCCACGCCATCAATCTTGATTTCGGGGGGTCTGGGGGGCATCTTGGGCCACAGGGTTCGAATATAATGTCCATGTATCCCTCCCCCTCCCTCTATGGAGGAGGAGGAGGAGGAGGAGGAGGAGGAGGAGGAGGAGGAGGAGGAGGAGGAGGAGGAGGAGGAGGAGGAGGAGGAGGAGGAGGAGGAGGAGGAGGAGGAGGAGGAGGAGGAGGAGGAGGAGGAGGAGGAGGAGGAGGAGGAGGAGGAGGAGGAGGAGGAGGAGGAGGAGGAGGAGGGGGGTGGGGGAAACGGTGCCGCGCCCCCCCGCGAGGCCGGGGCGGGCAAGCCCGGCGCCAGCGGCCTCGGGCGGGAGAAGCCGGAGCCCGCGCGGGAGGCGGTGCCTCGGCCCGCCCCCCTTGCCTTGAGAGCCGGGCATGCCCCTCTACAGGAGGACTATTCAAACATCGAATACACATAATCAGTTGTTTTTTTGTTTGTTTTGTTTGTTTCTCTTGTTTACATATATATATATATATATATATATATACATATTCATACAAAAGGATGGTTTGGTGTTACCATCTGTTTATAAACATAAGCCATTTTTGGCTCAAGCCATTTTGGCTCTGCCAATTTGGGCTTGAGTGGCCGCGCTGTATTGTACTTCCTTTTCACTTTCTCGCACATTTTGTGCACCGATGAAGGCCGATTCTTCTCAACCTGCTGTCAAGCGTCTGCACACCGACGAATTGCAGAGGATGGCGGAGGCGGAGCAGGAGGCCTTGAATGCACTCCCTCCAGGGACCAAGCAGATCTTGGACCTCTATTCGAACAGGGTCACGATGTCCATGGATACCTTGCTCGGGAAGATGGGAGATAAGTTCGAACCTCGATTCAAGCAGATCGAGACGGGCGCAGAGGAACTGGAGAAGCGAGTGGCAAAGCTGGAGAAGCAGGTCTTGGATGGCGCCTCCAGTGCGGGAGACAACTCCGCCTCCTCCGGAGGCGATTGGAAACCATCCAATATCATTGTCAAGCTTTGCGATTTTCAGGAGAAGGGCGACCACAAGATTGGCATGGCTCAGCTCCGCACGTGGTACGCCACTGTACGGGGGCATTTGGGTGCGTCGGCCCAGGAGCTGGGCGAGCTCAAAGTGAAAACCACGGAAAACATCTACAAGTTCGAGCTCCCAGTCCAGCCCGGCAGCGTGGAGACCATGAAGAACCACCTCCAGGAAATCACCATTACCCACAATCTCTTCTTGACCTCGGCGAAGGGCCAGGGCGCCGAGGTGTGGCCCACCTTTCGGGCGAAGCAGCACCCCGTTCGAATGATGAGGTGCAGAGCGTTCGGCGCGTTGACTGAGACGATCAGGGAACAGGCGACGGCCACCGGGTACCTTGTCACCGAAGACTGGAAACGATCGCTCTCGGTATCGGTCAAGAAAGCGGACGGCGACCCGTACCGCATTGCCGGCATCGACTCGTCGGCTCAGGTGTTCTGGGACGACTCGAGGCTCGCGGAGATCGGGTGGAACAAGGACCAGTTGATCCTCAGCATGCGCAAGTAGAGGTGCCAGCTGGAACCTAGAATTCGTGAGCTCACTGAGCTCTGGGCCATCACCGCAAACTTGAGGCACAAGGCGGTCTCAGCCCGGGCTTCTTTTTTTCAAAAAGATGAGGAAGTTGGTTGGACGTATGACTGTCATGTTTCTTCAGGAGATTCCTCGTTGGGTTGATGCTTCGCATCATGGGTACGAGCTCTTCTCGAAGCTGGGCGAGGACTGCGGTATAGCAGTCCCTGGGTGCTGGCACGATCACATCCACCGTAAATCTTCTGGTCCCTTCTATTGCATGTTGCAGTGTGGTGGCAGCGGGTACGTATGTTTACACTTGCCTACCGGGTCTGATTCCCAAGTCTGCTGGGAAGATACGATGTCATCTATAGAGCGGCTCTGTGACGAATGGGAACGTGCTTCTCCTTAGGTGAAGCGTTGGGTTCTCGGGGGAGATCTTAATCATACTATGTGTGGGTCTCTTCCCGGGCTCAGCGGTGATTGGGCGGAGCCTCCTCACCCTGGTCATTCTGTTGTTAGAGGTGCTCGTCTCACCAAGTTTTTCTACGCTCGCAACGTTGTTCTTCTCAATACCTTTTCCTCTTGTGCAAAGCAGCTCCCTGATGAGATGTGGACTTGGTGCAACACGCGGGGCAGCAAATCACAAATCGATTACATTGCTATTCCTGCTGTGCATTGTTCAGGGCGCTGGGAATGTTTGGATCATACACGCAAGAAAGCCCCGGAAGTGTTGCGCTCCGATCGCAAGATGGTCAGAGGCAAAATCGTGTTCGACAGTTCGTACATCAGCTATCTGGCCAAGTCGTTCCCGCAGAAGGGCTGGGCACCCGATAGCGAAGTTGCGCTGGGACTGTTCCAGCACAGGGTTGCTTCGGCCAACGCTCTGATGCGCCATCCTGTAAAGTTGCCCGCGTGTCGTAACGGCGCGGCCGCGGCGGAGCCCCGAGCGATGCAAAATCAGCCACGATTTGTATCACAGTCTACTCGTGAGTGCAAGTATATCGCAGATTGGGAATCGCTCATTGGCGAGACCGCCATGCTCATTCCAGCCACGAATGCTGGGCTGAGGCGGTGGCAGAACAGCCAGAGATCTGATAGGGAAATACATCTTCGCCATAAGATAAAGCTAGATTTGAGAGGGGGGGGGTCCGACATCGACAAGACCGCCGGGAGGTGAGGCAGTTGGTCACGCGTCGTCGTCGTAAACGTGGGGATGACACACTGGCCGCCATCAACTCTCACCCGTCGTGGTCGTGCTCTCGTTTGCCGGATTTCTTGAAGGTTCCCGAACAACTTAAGCCTATCTACGGCGATGCGCTTCATAATCATTCGCTTTGGCCTGAGCTTTTGCAACGGTTTGGGGCGTTACGGTACAATGATTCGACTAATCCTACCCAGGTTCAACAGGAACGACTAGAGGTTCTTCTAGCACGTGCTCGCGCAGATAGGTTGGACGGACATCTTTCGCCCGCTCGTGGTCCAGGCCGGTTCCAGTTCATGGAGTTTCTCGCCGCTCGAGGGGCTATCTCGCAAGGCACGTCGCCAGCTAGGGATGGGGTGGTGGGAGAGATGTTGAAAGCTTTACCTTATAGTACATTGGTTGAGGTGTATATAGCTTTCGTCAAATACTTCGAGAGCGGGATGGGTGGAGGGGAGTATTGGAAGTTTATCGATTTAGTAGGCTTACCGAAGGTGCTGATCCCGTCGTGTTACACTGAATGGAGATATATTGCAAAGACTCCGAACATGCAAAAGTGGTACCTGCGTTCAGTATGTTATGCGGTTCGTCGTTTTGTCGCTCAATCTCGTGTTCGGCTGTTTGGTTTTACCCCGGGCATTTCGACTTTGCACTTGGTGGACATCGTGCGAAGGGTTCTAGTCATCTCTCACAAATTTAAGCGTCAGCCGTATCTGTTCGCGTTCTTGGATATCGAATTTGCGTTTGACACTATTCCGCACGAGTTGTTGGCCAGGGCTTTATCGGAGCTCCAGATTCCTTCATCCCTGGTAGCTGCACTTCTCCGGGAGCTTTCTGGCCTTTCGGCGGAGATGTACATCAGAGGGGTTGGGAATTCTGGCAAATTCAATTACGAAAAAGGAGGGCGTCAGGGTGGAGTGGAAACACCGTTGCTGTTTAATTTTTTTTTTTTCGACGACTTGTTGATCGGTGGGCTGGGGAGGAGTGCGGGGCTAGGATTGGTAACGTGTTCCTGTCATTGCTTATCTGGGCCGGTAACCTGATCCTCTGCGCTAGGGACATTCACACCATCACCATCATGATCACTAACATCGTACGTACTCTAAACATGCACGGCTTCAGAGTGAAAATGAAGGAGAGTGCTATTCTATGCGGTATGGGGGTGGATGCCCCCCCGACACACGTCATGATCGAGTCTCTGTCGCAGGGCACCTTGCGCTTCCCCGTGGTAGACGAGGCGGTGGTTCTTGGGACCAGATTCGACAGGGAAGGTGGGACTACGATTTCATTTTCGCACAGATTTCTTAAAGCCGAGGGGAATTTGGGCAAAATCACCCCACATCTGTTGAATCCGAGGGCCAGCTGGGAGGCCAAAGCTCGGGCCTTCAGCCGGGGCCCAGTGGCCAGCGCCCTATATGACTGCCAAGCATGGATACCGACACAAGCACGTTTACAGCAACTCCGGGCCTGGGAAGACAATGTGTTGCGGAAATCGTTCAAGCTTAAACATCTACCCCAAGAAGGCCATCTTGGTTATAACAGTCGTACTGCTAGGCTCCTGGAAGGCCGCTTCGCCACGTGGGGAATCCCGCATGTCCATCACCGTTGGTTGCGTATGTGCCATCGCTGGCGGTATCGATCTTTCCATTGGTCATGGGGTCTGGATGCCCAGGTTATTCCGGAATACCCGCTTCGAGAACTGGCTCTTTTCCGTCGAGGGGAGCATGCAATGGGGGTTGTAGAAGCTCGTCATAGTGCTAGAGTTCGAGAGGATTCTGCTGGGGATTGGAGGTATCGTCGTCCAGGGGCCCTTGTGTTCCAGGTGGAGGATTTTTGGGATAAATATTTCAAGGAGTGGGAGGAGTTGATGGAGGCCGGGGCTACTGTTTGGAAAACTACGGAGGACCAGTTCGTAAACAGCCTGTGCATCCAGTGGCAACTTCCGCGCTGGAATCGCGACTTGGCTCTCCAGACGGACGTCGCTCGAAGGATGCCGGTGGAGGGGGCCAGCAGCCTCCGCCCTGCCAAACGAAAGCGTGACCACGATGATTCCGTCAGCGCTGATCGAAAAAGGGCCCGTCAAGGGCCGGCTGAACCTGCAATTGTGGACGTGGCCCTCGGTCCAGAAGATCGGGAATGGAAAAATATTTATTTTGATTCGACCGCGTCGCATTGGTCTACAGAGATAATATTTTCGGCCCTCGGCTTCTCGCCTCTTCCGTGCGATTGCTCCTGGACCCCGCCCGAGGAGGCGACCAAATTCTTCCAGTGCGTTGTAGATAACAAACCTCTGACTGGGGCCTTGAACGGATCTTCTTTCTGCAGGTTCGAACACATCGACATGTTGTCCCCGACTGCTGATTTGTTGCTGCATGCATTTATGAACGGGTGGAGGGCGCCTCACGTGGTGGACTCCCCTCTGGTATGGAGGCGTCGGGATCTGAATACCGAGGCTGATTGGCTGTGCAATCTCACCATGGATAGCCAGGAGTCTTTTATCTGCCTTAGTCCTTCTTGGTCTTCCCTCGTCGGTACTCCCCATCACTGTCTGATGCACTCCGACGGTGGCTGGCGGAAGCGTGGCCAAGCTGGGATCGGCTTCGTGCTTCGAGTTCGTACGGCTGCTCACTGTACGTGGCAATTGTTGGCTTTCGGCTGCTTATGGCGGCCGCTTCTCGCCGACAGTTGGGAAGCAGAGGTGGAGGCACTGCGCACAATTCTCCTGATCTTCTCTGTCTTACATGATCCTCATCTCAAGTTTAGCCTGACACAGTTGCGTAGCATGTTTCACTGTTGTATATATTATGGCAATGTGTGCGCGAAGTACTTGCATTAGGTTCCAGGGCAGGCAAACACAGTGACGGTAAGGCAGCTCTTGGGGCATAGCCGAGTCGAAATCAAATAACTAAATATGTTTATGTATATATATATATATATGCGTATACACGCCTATATATATATATATGCCGGAGTGCAGTATTGCCAAACAGGGTTGTTTTAACCAACTGCGGTTTCCAAGGTCGCTTGCATGCCCGTCCAGTGCGGGCTGGCATGGCATGTTAGAACATGCCTTCTCCTCCTCCTCTTCCTCCTCCTCCTCCACCTCCCCTTCATCCCGAACGGCATCTCGGAGCCCAAAGAGTTGCGAGGATGTCTCCAGCGTAACGGGCTGGACCACCTCGCGCGCGGCATCTCGGACCCCAGAGTTGCGACGATGTCTCGGGCGAAACGTGCTGCGAGGAATTCTCAGGCGAAACGGGCCGGACCACCTCGAGCGCGGCTTCTCAGAGCTCCGAGTTGCGGGGGCCTCTTGGGGCCTCCTGGGGACCTGCTGGGGCTTCCTCCTGGGCCTCCTGTGGCCTCCTGGACCCCACCTGGGGCTTCCTGAAGCCTCTTGGGGCTCCCGGGGTGGGATATCTAACATGTGGCCGTCGGGCCCCCCCAAAAGGGGAGGGGCCACAAGAGCAGGAAACAGTAACGAATCGACACTGGATGCGTATCAACTTGACACGTTCTGATAGGGGGCCTCTGGGGACCTCCTGGGAACCTCTTGGGAATCTCCTGGGGACCCCTGGGGCCTGTCCTGGGCGTCCTGCGGCCTCCTGAAGCTCTCTGGGGCCTCCTAGGGCTCCCAGGGTCCCAGGGGGGATATGTAACATGTGGTCTTCTGGGCCCCCAGGCTGGACCACCTCTTGCGCGGCATCTGGGAGCTCAGAGTTGCGAGAATGTCTTGTGCGAAACGGGCTGGGCCACCACGGCATCTCAGAGCTCAGAGTTGCGAGGATGTCTCAGGCGAGACGGCGCAGGGCATCTCGGAGCCCAAAGAGTTGCGAGGATGTCTCCAGCGTAACGGGCTGGACCACCTCGCGCGCGGCATCTCGGACCCCAGAGTTGCGACGATGTCTCGGGCGAAACGTGCTGCGAAGAAGTCTCAGGCGAAACGGGCCGGACCACCTCGAGCGCGGCGTCTCAGAGCTCCGAGTTGCGGGGGCCTCCTAGGGCCTCCTGGGGCCTCCTGGGGACCTCCTGGGGCTTCCTCCTGGGCCTCCTGTGGCCTCCTGGACCCCACCTGGGGCTTCCTGAAGCCTCTTGGGGCTCTCTGGGATGTAGCCGTCGGGGCCCCCCCAAAGGGGGGGGGAGCACAAGAGCAGGAAAAATCAACCACTCGACACTGGATGTTTATCAACTTGACACGTTCTGATAGGGGGCCTCCTGGGGCCTCCTGGGAGCCTCCAGGGAATCTCCTGGGAGCCTCCTGCGAGGATGTCTCAGGCGAAACGGGCTGGACCACGTCGCGCGCGGCATCTCCGAGGTCAGAGTTGCCAGGAAGTCTCAGGCGAAATGGGCTGGACCACCTCTTGCGCGGCAGCTCAGAGCTCAGAGTTGCGAGGATGTCTCAGGCGAAACGGGCCCGACCACCTCGCGCGCGGCATCTCAGGGCTCAGAGTTTGGAGTACGTCTCAGACGAAACGGGCTGGACCACCTCTCGTGCGGCATCTCGGAATGTAACAGTGAGAGGATGTTTAAGTAAAACGGGCCGGACCACCTCTTGGGCGGCATCTCGGGGCTCAGAGTTTGGAGGATGTCTCAAGCGAAACGGGCCGGACCACCTCTCGCGCGGCATCTCGGAACCCAGAGTTTCGAGGATGTCTCAGGCGAAATGGGCTGGACCACCTCTTGCGCGGCATCTCAGAATTCAGAGTTGCGAGGATGTCTCAGGCGAAACGCGCCAGACCACCGCACGGCATCTCAGAGCTCAGAGTTTGGAGGATGTCTCAGGCGATACGGGCCGGACTACCTCTCGCGCGGCATCTAGGAGCTTAGAGTTTGGAGGATGTCTCAGGCGAAACGGGCTGGACCACCTCTTGCGCGGCATCTGGGAGCTCAGAGTTTCGAAGTGTCTCAGGTGAAACGGGCCAGACCACCTCGAGCGCGGCATCT